CTGGCGTCTGCAGTAGTGACCGTTCTAAAGCAAAAAGTATAAAACAAATTTTGCCTTGTACGCGCGTTCGTTAAAGCCTTATTATGATTTTTTTACTTCAAATCTTTTATAAGAGGAAGGCCAGCGCGCGTGAACCATAGAATTACACTTCCAGAGTTCTCGTCGCGATGCTTGGAGAATGTAGAAAAACGTCTGTCGGGACGCTGTCTGCCTTTGTGTGCTATCAACAATGCGCTTTCCAAAGACGTTGCCATGCCGACAATTATCGCGCTCATTTAGGCTTAGGAATGCCCAGAATCGAAATACTATCTAAAAAATGCGGTGATGTCATTGCCCATCCTTTGCGGTTTAAGTGAGGTAAGGCAAAGCGAAAGCCTCCTACACCATTCGTTGCTGACTAACGCGCCGGATATTGCAACCACAACGACATATTAGTTCCAAAGCGAGCGGCGCTCACTCACTGGGGCACCGCCATGTTTCCCCGCATCCCTACCGAGCCAGTCACGTGATCTCAAAATCCCTCTCCTAGGTACTGCGGCTAACTTTAGCCGCGGTTAGCGCTTCGAGCAAACGGGCCCTGATGCGTAGCCGCTGCGATAGTTCTCCATATAAATACTCGTGAGTTGGTAAAGAAAGAAATCCAGAAACATACATGACTTTGTTCAGTTTCAGTCTGCTTAGGTGTTTCAGATGCACAAAACAAAATAACGAGAAGAAAAAATGCGAGCAACGGAATGAGAGAGAAGATGAGAGACAAACTGCGTCTGCAGGAGTATATTAAACCCAATTGTATTGCACACGTTTCAGCTAACCTCTAAGCATGCATGAGCTTGTCCGAACGCGGAACGTGCATCCGCTTAAAGAAGCGCTGAAGTGCCTCTTGTAGAAGCTTGTTTTTGATGTCACATTGTTTGTTGGGGTTTAGTTAATAAAAATGTCCAGTTCTGGATGGCAAAATGTCCTACTGAACTCACAGCAATGAAACTACACGGTAACTATTTTCTATTGCATCTCCATCAAATATTATCGACAAAGAAGTGTAATTGCCTGGATATTCCGAACGTTACTAAATAGCTCTTTTCAGGTGCGTTATGTATTATACGTTGACAAAAACGTCAAATCTTGGGAAGTAAAAGGCGTAATTCAGCAATCTATTTTTTTTTTTTTGAAAACGCCGTCTGACGTCGCTCTTGTGTGCTCCATTTCTGCTCCAAGAGGCAGAAAGAGGGGAGTGTCACAATATTTCATTAAATTTTTAGTACAGAAATCGGGCGCCATGGGCGTAGTGTCGGGATTGTTAGGATGCCTAGAGCCCGCAGATTGCGTTATTGCCATAAATGAACGATTTTAGATTCCACTGGAGTTCCCCTTTAAGCGCGTTCGACCAACACCACTTAGAATAATCAAAGCCCGCGTGCACGAGCATTTCAGCGTCATCAAGGTGTGATCTATAGCGAAGACACAAATCGGACACGAGTGCTGTGTCAGCGCTGGCCTCGTGTCTATCGTCAATAATGAGTTTCAGCATAGCGTACACGAGCAAAACGCAAGCGCTGCGTGTTTGCGTTAGCGTTACGCGTTGCCCACTGCACGTGTGCCCAAACTGCGTCTTGAATTGGCTCATGGCGACGACGGGCATGAGCAGTGTGAAGCAGGCCACGCTAATACAAACGCCCAATGCTTGCGTTTGCTACTACTATAAGCAAATACTCAGACGCTATAATGCGTCGAAAGACGCTCCGTATCGAGTTCGAGTCCAGTTTCCTAGTCGGCGCCACCTGGGTGTGATGACGTGGAGGTAGAGAAAGCTGTTAACATGTGCTTTGATTATTCTGGGTGCTGTTGGTGCTACCCGCCCCGCCGCATAGAAAACTTGTTCTATAACCGTTCCTGGTCAACATCAGTTAATAATAATAAAGAAATCCTCAAGATAAAAGGCGACGTCATCAGCGGTGAGAAAACAGCCAGAATTATTAAGTTTAAAAAAAAAGAACTAACGTGTAGAAGAAAACTAAGCAGCTGAAATCCGTACACTAAGTATGCGCAAAGTAGGATTGCAAGATATACTTCACAGAGCAGAAAATGTTGTCGAAACGCGGTACAGCCAATGCTGTACCTTGGAGTACACGTGCACAAGCAAGAAGAGCAAACATTTCGCGAACCAACGATGCAGGTATGTTGAAACTAATTTTTCTTTTTTTTAAATTTTTTATCTGAATCTAAAAACGAGATCTCCACGTTTATGCAAATTGTATAAGCACCATTGGATTAAAGCCAGTGTACAACTCGCCTAAATTTATCTGTTTACGCAAGTTTGTTATTGGTGAAAAAAAAATGGAGCGATGAAGTGAAAATAATTTTTCTTTCCATCAAGAACGGGCAAACGAATGCGGGATTATACCGTGAAGACTAATATTCCGATCAGCCAGGCGAGCACAAAACGGAAAATAAGAGCCAAAAGAAATTGTTAAAAATATTTATTGGAGCAATTAACCTCTCTCTGACTCACTGCGAAACATTCGGTTTGTGAAAGAATAATCTAGTAAAAAGCCGGAAAAGCGAACTTCCATACGAAAAAACAAAGTTAGACGGAGATTTAAAGGAATAAACAGACATGAAATGTTAAATAATCTGAACAATTGTAATAATTATCTGTCTTGAGCTTCGTGTACGCGGAAAAAGACGAAGGGCCGACAAAATGCCAACTGCGTTGGGTGGGGTTCCATGAGGTTTTTCCTCTCACGCACTATGCACTCTAAGAAATGTCTACGCGTCTACTCACCCTCAAAACACTCAAACAGACAACCTCTGCTATATACAAAATCAGCTCAGCCAATGATGAGGCGGAACATCCGTTTAGACCTAAAAGTAAAGTCTGCGCTGTGGCATTACGCAATGCAAAGCGTCAAACGAGATGCGCACAACGATCTTCTTTGGGATTAAACTTTCCGCAGTAAAACTTTACGACACTCTACCGAAACTAGACGACTGCATTAGTAAGGAGCATTCATCAAACCCAATAAGAGGAGCAACTTCAACCTCATTAGAAACACGCGATACTTTTAGTTGAAATACCGACGGTTTGCAAATATTTTGGTAAATGTACTCTACGCGATCACACACACACACAGAAAAAGATTAAGTCTAAAAGTATTGAAAATGTTTTCTAGAATTAACAATCTACAAAGTGGACGCGACAAAACAAGTTCGAGGGAAACAAAATTGGATAATCTCGTGGAGGCACATGGTACGATTCAAGATTGCAACCAGGTATGTTTATCTTAGCGAATGACGTGTCGTTAAATGGAAGTCAGTAATTTAATGAACGGAATTTTTATGCACGTTAACCGAGATGGTATGAAAAAATAATTACGTCGTGACATAGTATTTCGTACAAAAGCAGCGAGAAACGTTGTGCCTCATATTTGTTCGTGATAATTTGCCAGCCTTACGAATGTGTTTGAGCGAAATACTGGGAACGGATATTAGCCTATTACCTGCCAGCACGCCAATATCCCTTTTGTCTATGCGTGATACTCGAAGAAGTAGTTTTCGCCTGTTCAAGACCCCTGTCATTGTAGTACAGACAAAAAAAAAAGGGCCATTCGTCCAAATGCCGTCTAACAAAACGGCCGTTTCTAAAATGTTATAGTTTTATTGCAAGATATGTAGGTCATTTACTTTTGAGAATAAAACCAAAATCAAAATCGGCAAAAAACAACAAAAAAAAATGTTCGCGGGGTTTCAGATGGCTTATTGTGGAAGAGAAGCAGGATGCAAAACAGCTTGGGATTCCGCCGTCTTGAATAACTGCGCCGATGTTGGCTACTATCTGCCAACAGGCAGACAGATTATCACGAAGACAATACAAATGAGGTCACTTCTGTGTCGAGTCTCCTTTGAGCTCGTTACAGTTAAAAAACAACAACAAAAAAAAATTCAAATAACTATAAAATTTGGCTCCCGAAGAGCCAGCACGGCCTTCCCACATTAGATTATTCTTTAAAATCTGTAAACATCAATCATTTTACAAAGGCTGACGGAGCAGAATACTAATGCATTCTAAGCTGGAGATTATGCAGCTTTTTTCTCGGTCTTCGTTTATCACGTGTATCATGTAACATAAATAGCAGCATGCTCGACTCTTATATGCAGGCATTGGGCGGTATCATTTTTATTTATATTTTTTCTCAGCATACATGTGTATGGCTCTGTTGGAAGTATTCTCTAGAAACGCGATAGACAATTGCCATGTAAATTATAATCCTTGAAATGCAAAAAAAGGACATTCGTGGAAGATAAGCAGGACAGAGGTTAATTTGATTTCAGACAGTTTGAAGTCCCACTAGGAATTATCTGGGAGGGAGCGAGCGGTGAGCAAGTCTTCTGCATGTTTATCTAGATTCCGGGTTGGCTCCTCTGGCACAACCAGTGCGCGGATATACGAAGCCGCTCATCAGAGTACTTGCACGCATGTTACTCTTATTTGTCAGCATTATGTATGTATTACGGTGATCATTTCTGTTTGTATCATGTGTCATGTTCTTTTTTTATGTGTGCGAAGCACTCTTGTTACTACTCCTAATATCATTATTATATATTATTAATTTTATGGTTGCGTATGTGAGCGTGTGTTTTTTGTTGAAGCATGCCAGCACAATGGCCGATAGGTTGTTTCTGGACACTGTAAGAAACACTGATTTATTGATTAATATTATTGTTAAACTCTTTTTTTCAATTTATGGCTTTCTATCTATGGTTATGGTTGAGCTCTTGGTCTGCTTATCTAATCACGTTTGTTTTTACTTTTTCAGCGGGTCCTATAGAAAGAAAAGAATTAGATTGAAAACCACGGGAGTCCTGTCGTAGCCCTCTAAAAAGGGTCTATAGAAAGACGCCGGCAGTTCAAAGCAACAATGCACCAAAACTGAAGCGTGACAACAGAAAAAAAAAAAAAAAGCGCTTGGCTGTCAGTGTGAAAATAAAATGAGCCTGCTCACATGTCGGTGATCTTGTTGGCTCTGTCTTGGTCGAGTAGCTGCGGGATGGCGGCGATGCGATCACTCTCTAGCTGGCACGACAGACTTTGGTCTAGGTGGCAAGAGCAGCCCAGACTCTGGCAAAACTGCTCCGGCGGTAGCAACTTCCGCGTCGCGTTGGGCTCACCCACGATGGACACGTGAGTAGCGTTGTACATGGACACCCCCTGGAAACGCGGCACTGAAGTCGCCCAACACCACGACATTCCGAAGCACAAGAGGATCGCCTGGGCGAGCACCAGGCGCCACGATGAACTCCCACCAAGCACCATGGTTCCGGAAGGACGGGCAGCGCACTGCGAAGTTGCCGGACACTCGGCCGCAATAACTACGGGCTACTTCTCAAGCAGCGCTAACCGTCGGGAGAATCCCTGGTGCCGGTCATCCTCCGAGTCGAAGACTGCTTTGAAGAGGAAAGATTCCAAGCCGGTGGGTAGGTTCAGGTAGAGCTTGAGGACGACCCGGTGCAGACTAAGCAACCGTTCGAGAGCTAGTGTCAGGAGGAACGCGAGGAGCGACAAGCTGGAAAGAACACATAATCCCACGAGGTACGCGCGGTGCCACCGGTTTTCACATTGGGAGAGGGCCACGAGAGCCAGGACAGAGTGCACGTTCCAGCAGCTCTATTCTCCTCCTCACATGCTGACTTGTGGATGGTGACGCATCGTTGCCACGAAGAAATGAAGAGCAGGGGGAGCTTTGTCTTTTTACTTTTTTTGTTTTACTTCATCACAGCGGAACGAGCTCTTCGACGCCGAAGCGCGTCTCGCAGCTGAGCGCGTCGGCAACTGGTCGTTCGACTCGCAGCGCTGCCAACTTTTCCAGAGCCAACGGAAGAGGGAAAGGGAGACGGATGGGCGTAGAGAGAACGGAGCGCGGCGGCTAATACGCGGGTGCTCCGAAGAAACAAGCAGTAGGCAGCGCCTCTAGCGGGTGTTCGCGGAAAGCGGGCCGCGCCGTGCCAGGCAATATCTCGTATTACGGACGTCCCGCGACAGAGCGGTTTCTGTGGCAACGGCTCCTCTTGTGGCTGGGAGTCAGGTGGCGATGGCCTGGAGAAGCAGCGGACGGCTCGCAGGATTCTTTCTTTTTTGCCCCAGAGTGGCCTCCTTCTTCCCATACCTCTTCGTGCACCGTTGTAACAATGAGCGAAGTGTCTGCGCAGTGGCTGCAATCTCTGAAAGCAATACAAAAGAAAAAGTAAAAAAAGGAGCAGATTTTGAAGACTTTAGTTTTCTGGAAAGAGGGAGGCTGGTAATTAACGCTTGGGTAGTCTCTTGTTGCCCTGGAGATATCTTTTTTCATTTATGATTGGCATAACGAGGTGTGTTAACTCGGCGCCGCCGAGTTCCAACTACATCGCAAGGAGAAATATAACCTGAATAAAAATTAAAGTGGAAAGCTGAAGCGTCCTGCAACTAATTTTTCTACTGATCTCTCTGCCGCTCTGCGTTTAAACCTTCGCAATCCTGGGAAAAGCACGCGTAAGATTTTTTTTTTCGTCATTATTACTGATTAAAAAAGAAAAGTTGAGAGTTTTCAACATTTTGAACACCCATGACTTAACAGACTTAGGAGACTTGGGAGCTATGTTTCAACAATCCGACCTGCATGCATTAAAGAGCTAAATTTTTATTTTTATTTAATTAACAAAAAAATAAACCAAAAGTTATAAAACAATTTCAAACGAAAATTACCTTTTTTAATTTTATCCGAAGCAGGGGTGTGTGCAGTAAAAATAGTGTAGGAAACCAATCTCAAAAGGTGAAGTGGGGTTTCCACATCTAAACAAATAAATAAATCACGTGGCCTTCATACAGTTCACAGCCTCCTCAAATGAAACCCTTCAGGGTCACATAAAATGTGAAGGTTTCATAACTTAAAACATAACTTTATTTAATAGACCGATCTCAATAAGCGTTCGGCACATGCGTTACAACGCCATAACTTTAGTTCATAGGAGGCAGACGGGCATTGCACGAGAGAGGGCCCGTTCTGTCTCGTTCTCTCCGCGTGCAGAGCTCCAGCGGGGTTGTCGCGGCTGCAAAAATACTAAAGTTCCCTCGATTCACTGCGGCTGCGGTGGCAGTACTCAAACTGGCTGGAGAGATTCGTCCATTACAAGATAAAATCGTGTTCTGGACCTAGCTCGGGTAAAACAATGCGGTCAGCAGCACCCAAAAATACTTATTAGCGCCGGCTACTACAAATGAAAATTTTTAGAGCGCAGTTCTTAGGCTCCCATTTCCGGGTTGAGCGGCGTCTGTGTCGGCGGAACCGCGCGTCTTGCATAATGGGACGTTTCCTCGCTAAAGCTGGCGGGCAAATGTTTCTGCTAAATTTAGCGGGGAACTTTTCCCACTAAATTTAGCGGTTTAAGTTTATCCGCTAAATTTAGCGGGGAAATTAACGTCACGTGACCTCAACAGCAATCCAGTTTCTCCCCTAAATTTAGCGGGCAAAAATGACGTCACGATTTTGTGTCATGTCACCCATGGACAAATTCAGCGGCAGGAGGAGAGGAGGAGGAGGGGCATACCCTCCCCTCCTCCTCCTCAAGAGCTGCGCTCTAGTTTCGCATTACAGAGATACTTTTTTTTATTTTCCATAAAATGTTTCAGAATATGATAACTCGCAGATCTTTGACATATCCTATCCCTCAGCGAAAACTAAGACTTTTGAAATACTATACCACATTCTAATTTGAGTGTATTTCAAGTACAGTTCATAATTGTAAGTACACAAGAAATATACCGAAAATATGCACTTCTTTTTTTTACTTAGTACTAAAATATATTTCGGGAAATAATTTGAACATACCTTTATTTAAACTACATTTGGTACACTGCATGCGTTCTGAAATATGTAAGTACTAAATTAGTAGGCACAAAATACCCTTCACATAGATTTCTTAAAATATTAATTTATTTCATGCAAAATACACTCCAACCCTAATGAAAATGCAGCGATAAAAAAAATGGGCTGAATACTCTTAAAATACATGGAAATCGTATATACTGATGTGTTATACTTGAAGTATCTTTTGACTGCAATACTTCGGTAGTTTGACTTAAACTTCCACAGTATTAAAAAGCTCGCCTATCAGAATTTCACTTCAAGCAGTTGTGGTCTACACTGAAGTGCCTAAATACAACATTTGATTAGTTTGTCAATTGAGTTGTGCAGCATCGTACTGATAAATAAGCCCAGTTTACGTTGTTGTTTTCTTTTTTTTTTTATCAAGAACACACCTGATGAGTTTCTTGCACGCCAATCACAAACGCAGTTCGGGAACTACAACCACAACACTTGCTGATGCTGCAAAGCTTTATCAAGGGCTGTGAGCAGATATGTTTGGCGTGGATAAATTAGCACAATGTTAGTTCACTGATTCTGTATACTGACCATTGTACGTGATGTGAGTAGTGTCTTTAATACAGTGACGTTGATGACCATAATAAATAGTCATCTAATAAAAGAAAGCAAAATAACTATCTTAAAGTCAAGAAATTGCCTTGACTCGCTTTGTTCTGAGTAGTGCGATGCAGAGAAGCAATCACATTTTTTCTAGGAGCCGTTTTTGTGGATAGTGTTTTAGCGACTCAATGCTGTTTAGTAAGAGATGTCGTCCACGAACTTCAAAACACTGTTTTCCCTTTGACAGACTCTCGAGGAGGAGATCGAATACTTGGAGCCTTATAACGTGCAGAGGTGGTCACCGGCCAAACGATTACCTTCACTATGTAGGCTATATAAGGCTCTGGAGCAGTTAACGGGAATGTGATTCAGGTGTTCAGTGCGTCATGGTGTTCGTGTTTGTGCTCGTTTCTAATGTGTAGTTGTGGATGGTATGTACCTTCAAATACCACAGAAATACCATTTACTAACAAAATCCAAGATAAAAAACAAATAAAATAAATTTGTGTAGGCGTTTTAATACACAAATGGCATCTTGAGGGGAAGGAATTATATTGTTCGTATATCTCAAATCTTTTCTGATTAATATTTGATATATTTTGAATACCTTACGCGCGAATTTCAAGATTAATATGCATATACAACATATTTCGACTATGTTTCAAGTACAGCCTCTTCTTGCTAAGGTTCCCGAAAGCGCTACTTTGATATAATTTCGACTTTTCGGCGTCGCTTAGTTTATTTTTGCGGTGGAAACAACGTGGTGGGTGTTTCTTCAGGTACGACCCATGCATTTTGTTCGAAATACTATTTTAGTATTACTTTCGGTATATATCGTCGCATTGGAATAAATTTCCCCAGCTTAGAAGAGAAGCCCGTAATCTTCGCACTGCTTTTGAAATTCCAAAGGAGGTGGCACATCTCTCCCATACCAATCCTGTCTAGTAGATAACATCGAAAGCATGTAGAAGCACAGATTGAGGTTTAATCTTACTAAAAATCCTGGGGATGTCGTACAAATAAAGAGTGGCATGGAAATGGATTATTGCTAAATAACCGAGAAAGATAGTATTAACGTGTAACAAATCAACCGCTATTACACATTTCGTTATCCCGAAATTTTCCAGTACGCTGGAAATCAAAGGTAACATATATGTAAACTGAAATGTGAAATAGTTATCGGAAAGAATATCATTTTTCACAAGTCCTTTCGAGATGAAATTAACCACACGATCAATTGAGATAGTGTATTTTTGACTACATTAAAAAGGTATACACGAAGTTCTTTCACAATTGTTGCAGTGTCTTAATCTTGTGAATCGTCCTCTTTGTTGTCGTTGTGTTAATTTTGTTGCATTTATTATACATTTGTAGATTAGTATTCATGAGTAGTGTGTGATGTGAGCTTTCTTTTTTTTGCCATCGAGGACTGTATTTGTAAAAAGCAACTTAGGGAAATAACCAACCTTCCACTTCGTGAACGAATAATCGCAATATTAATAATAACAATCGTGTTTATTATAAACATAGGCCTCTATTTCCAGGTAGGCCCCCTCAACGAGACGCTTTTAGGCAACAAGGCTTAATCGGTAGTGCGTGTCATGCAAGTAGCCAGACAAGACCTCCCCCTCCCCCATCTTTTTATGGGAGCTTGGGCGTCTATCGTTTCCAGGCCAATCCCAAGGGCTTCCCGACTACGGAGCGAGTTGCCCGTCGAAACCCGACAATATCCCAGACTCGCCGGACACTTGAACTGGCAGCACAGTTTCCTCGCCTAGTTCTTCTCCTCGACAATGAGGCCACTACGGCACGTGGACCTGGCGGCCTCGGGCCGTGTGCTCCACCACGTACGCTTCCCGAACAGCCTATTATCTTTGTATGTTCGAGTAGCCCCTCCTCTTCCCCCTCCCCCCCCTCCCCCCCCCCCGGCAGTACATCATTCAGAGCTTCGTTCACACCCTAAGTTGAGAGTGCGGTGGAAGGTACATGTTTGTCGGACTAGGCGTTTGCCCATCTTTCGCCCTTTTGATCATGCTCCCCGCCCATGCCCGCGTGCAGAGAGCGACAAGGTGATAAGAGGCGGGGAGTTGATTGGCCCAGCGAGAGCGTGGCTTCCACCCAACTACCAGCTTACGGGTGAATGGAGTATACCTGGATGGTCTCGCCCAAGTTTGTTATGAGAAAAATGATTCCTTCCTCGATGATGTGTATGCACGCGCGCGTGTGATTCTGTTTTGTAGGAGCATTGTTTACTTGAATGTCCTTGCTTTATGTGACACAACGTTTGCGGTCGACGCCGCTTACTATACACATGAAAGATGAGGATAGAAATTGCCCCGCAACTCGAATCCGACTAACAATAGTAATTCAATATTTA